CATGTGTAGGCTAAAACCTTCCCTAAAGGGAGGGGAGAGGCAGGGAGGGGAGCAGAGAAAAATGTAGAGCTCAATAAAAATCAATTTAAAAAAAAAAACCTCCCCCTAGAATCATTGCACATTTTCTATGAATGCCTGTGTGTATGTTGTAAGCAGCAACTGCATCTGTAACCCAGCATAACCCTAGCTATCCTGTCATCGACCTAGCCTTCTACCCACCCTCTCAAACTCCTGAGTTGCTCTGTTCTCCTAGGAGAACCCCAAGTGTCCCGTCCTGCTTAGTCTCACCATACCCCTCAGACTCCTCTGTCCTTTCCAGTCTCCCTACACAGCCCTGATAGCTAGACTTCTCCTTTACCTCAGTCTCTGATCCAAAATTCCTAAGAATCTCGATCCAGATGGTCGCCTTTACCCAGTCATCTGCACTGCCCTTGGCCTTCTGACATACCTTCTATTCTCTATCTGTTAAGTTTCAATTGGATCCCCTGGTACTCAGATTCTAAGTGTCCTAATCTGCATCTGGTCCTCAGTGACCTACTCTTCCAAGAAACACATTTCTATCCTGTTTTTACCAGGAGAAGGCTTCAACCCCTATCCCCACACCTAGCATTTCCAATCTTCTTGATTTTGACAATCACTTCCCATCTTTGGCCCCATCCAAGACATCTGCTTAACCCTCTTCCTCTAATTCTGTCTTAATTTTTTAGCAATTCAACTGTGTCTCCTGGTCTCCTCCCCACCATCCTCTTAATAACTTCCTCAGTCCTCTGCTTCTTCTTCCCTTCCTTCCCTTATGTTTTAAACCCCTATCCTCCTTATCCTTATGTTGTCCCAGAACCTCATTCTCTCCTCAGGAGCATATACCCCATTCTCAGCTTCATCCCTCATGATGTCATCTCCAGTCTGCTCACTGCCCTGTGTCTCTGCGGACTTCCTGGAATCTGCTACACTCCTCATGAGCCTTACAGTGTTCAGCATATTGCCTATCCTCCTGACCTGACTTTGTGTACGTCTCCAGTCTTTAGACTTCCCATGAACCTCTTTTCCCAGGATTCTCAATTTCCAGAGCCTCTGGTTCCACTCACTAGGAGTATACAGCAAATAGTTCACCTCTTCCCAGGTCTTCTCCACTCTTAGGATACTCTAACCATTTTCCTCACTAGCATCCTCTTTGTGTGTCTCCTGACACTTCTATTTGTCCCTCTTCCCTAGTCTCCTGTCACCTCCATCTTGTCCTCAGCTCCATCTTCTTTCCACCCCATCCTTCTAATGCCCTCAAATCTACCTGTATCCTAAGCCCCCTTCAGTATCTGGCCTCTTCCCTTCACCTCTACCCTGTCCCTGAGCTTCCTCCTCTCTTCCCTAAACTTCTGTTGTCCTGCTGACCATTATGCCCTTTTAGGATGCTTCCTTCTCTCCTCCTCTTCATCTACATTCTATTCTCCTCTATTCTACCACCAACCTCACCATCTCTCCCTCCTCTTCAGTCACCTGTATGAATGTTAAACCTCTTGTAGCCTTACCTACTCACCCTAGGCTCCTTTTTGCTTTGTCACCATGGTTCTGCCCTTCTGCCCAGACTCTTAAGTTCTTCCTGAACTTTTGTCCTTTCCATTTTTCTGTCCTCCTCTTCATCCCCCGATGTTTGCCCGAGTCTTCTGCCCTGCTCCCTCACCTTCCTCATCCTGCTTCTTAGTTTCCCTCCTACTATCCTCTCCAGGTGTTGCTCTCTCCATCTTACTCTTAGGCTGAGTGTGTGACCTCCCTCCTCAGGCATCTAGAACCCTTGAGTCCTCACTTCTCTTCTCTACCTTTCTATGTCTGTATACCCTCTCCCCTCCCTGGAGTCCTGTCACTCCCTATTTTTACCCTCCACATTGAAGTCCCTACCCTACACAGCATCCTCCTGCCCAGCTCTTAGCTCTCCTTGGATTCTCTATCATCCCCTAATGTCCTTCATCTTTTCCTGGGCTTTCGGTCCCCACCAGCTTCCTACCCTCACTCTGTGCCTGTTGACTTCCTTCCAGACTCCCACCTTCCCCTTTAGCCTCAGGTCCTTCTTCATGTCCTTCTCTATAAACTTCTATTTCCTCCCAATCTCTTGACCAGTATCTGCCTCCTGCTCTGTAACTAATGTTCTTAGATACCCTCACAGCTTCCTGTTCGCCTGCCTCATCATCCTCATCCTTCCTTCTCTCAGTCCCATGCCTTCCCCTAAGGGGCTTATTCTCCTTCCCTCCAATCCTCTCCCCTGCCTTCCTCTGTCTCTCAGCACCTGCTCTCACTCTGATTCCTTCCCTCTGCCTGGCCTTCCTGTCTTTCTCCAGGTCTTCTCTCCTCAGATCCATCCTTCTGCTCTCATCTACCCACCCATCTTACTCCTGACATCTCTGCTCCTTATTCCTTCTCCATGATCATCTTGCACTCCTCATCCCTAGGCCTTTCTTTAGTCTACAAACATACCATATGCCATGGGCTTTGTCCTCATCTGCAGCTATCTACCCTGAGCCAGTGTGTGTGTGTGTGTGTGTGTGTGTGTGTGTGTGTGTGTGTGTGTGTGTGAATGTGTGTGCCTTCCCCTCTGTGATTATCCCCAACTGTGGTGCCTTTCACCCTGCCATCCTGCCCTCTATCAACCTCTTAACCACTTTCAGAAACAGGCCCACCTCCAGGACTCTTTCTCTCCTCTGTATACTGAGTTCTCCCCCCTACACACACACACACACACACACACACACACACACACACACACACACACACACACACACACATTCTAGTGCCTAGCTCCACATTTTCTGACTATCTTTTGAGCATCTTGCTTTCTCCTCCACTTCCTATCCTAAAGTGAAACATCTTCAGTGTCCTACCCACCCTTTGAGGCTCCATGTTGCTGTCCTTGTTCTATAATTCCAGCTCTCACCAGGAACCTCCCCTTCTCCTCTAGCCCCTTGTCTTTCTCTGGATTATAACAATCCTTATCTCCTCCCTTACCCTGTCTTGCCTCTAGCTTTCTGCTCCTCTTCCCCAGATTTCTGCCCTCCCCAAGCCTTCTATCTTCCCCTAACCTTCCATTGTCCTTTAGCCATCTATTTCATTCCTGATTTCATCCTGAGCTCCCAGCCCCCCTCCTCAGCCTTCTGGGTCCCCCAGACCCTTACAGTGCCCCAAGCCTCTGTCCATATTTCACCTTTCTCTCACGTCTGCTACCTTCTCCAGCTTCTGCTCTCCTTTACACTCCTCTCCCCACTCCCACACTTTCTCAGACCCCACCCCAACTCCTGCAGTATTCCTTAGCTTCCTGCATACTTCTTAGGCCTTCTGCCCTCCACAATCCCCTCCTTCCCTCTGGCCATAATTTCTTCCTCAATAGACTTACACCGTGTAACATCATAACCTCCTATTAACCTTCTGCCCTCCTCACCTACCATCTGCCCTTCCCCCACCCACTGGCAGTCCTCACCAGCCTGATGCCTTGCTTTCTCCTTCCTCCCAAGTCTCCTTCCCTACCTAGTCTTCTGCCTCTCGCATCCTTCCTCGTTCTGCCCTCCTCTCCATGTGTCCTTCTCTCCAGCCTTCTCCTCTCCAGCCTCTTGGCCCCTTCCTCCTGAAGTCTCCCCATCCCTTCCCAGCTCCCAGCTGTCCTTTCAGCCTATGCCTCTGTCTCAGCCTTCTTTCTGCCTTCACTCAGCCCTGCTCTTCGTCCCCAACCCAGCCTCATACCCTCCACGACACTGCCTTCCTCATCATGGGCTGTCCTCATGTGCCCCCACCATTCTCTTCAGTCTGCTATGTTCCTTCTCAGCCCCCCGCCATGTTCCCTATCCTTCTGCCCTAGCCCAGATACCCATTCCCCCCTCCAGCCTGTTGTTAACCCCAAATCCTTCTGTCCTCCCCAGTCTTATGAACCCACCTGTTTCTTGTCCAGCTTACCTTTTCTCTGTCTTCTGTGTTGCCCATCAGACACCACCTTCCCTTAACAGTATGGCCGTCGGTCCTGACCCTCTTCCCTCCCTAGCATATGTCCCTTAGCTCTGCCTGCCTTTTTCTCAGCCTCCTACAGCCTCTGAGCCAGCTGCTCAGTCTAACAAATTCATAGGGTCTTCTGACCCTTCTGACCTGGCTCGGGTACTGTATTCCTGATTCTTTGGCTCTCTTCCTCAGTCTCCCAACCTTCCTCTGTGTCTCCGGCCCTTCTTCTAAACCTTCTGTTCTCCCCCAGCTACCTGTCTCATCTCTGACTTCCCCTACCTGCCTCTCTAGCTTTCAGGCCCACTCTATGACCCTCCTGCCCTCCTCACAGTACAACCTTTTCTTGAGCCTCCTGCCCTTTTTTAGAGTCTTCCACATGGCCCATCCTCCGATCATTCCCCACTCTACCATCCCCCAGCCTGTTGTCACCCTTCCCAGAATCCTACAACCCCTGAGCTTCCTACCTTCTACACCACTCTTCTGCTCACCTCCCCAGCCTTCAGCCATTCCTACCTGAACTCCTAGTGTCCCCACGAGACTCCTGAGTATCTGCTCAGCTTTTTGTCTTTCTCCTGAACCCTCTATGATTCCCAAGGTCTACAGTACCCCCACTGGAGCCTCCTGTACTGCTGTACAGCACCCAGGAGTCTCCTGTCCTGCTCCTGAAGCTTCTACCCTACCACAAAAACTTCCTGACTTTCTCTAGTCTCCCACAATGCATGTGAGCCTCATGTCACCTTTCCTGCCCTCCTGGGTGCCCTTTTCCTAGTCCCCACAAGGGTGTCTCTCGCATTCTTGCTGTCTGACCTCCCCCAGCCTGAGCCTCCTGCCCTCTTGCTAAGCCCCACTTCACCTCAGCCCTAGGGGTCCTGGCTTCTCTGGTAACCCCTCAGAATGGAGTTCTGAGAGAACAGAGGTAAAGTCATGAGAGAAAAGCAGGCATCCAGCTCCAGCTTGTGGCAGGTGGTTCATTTTGTCATGAGTTCTTCGCATGCTCCCAGCCAGACAGCAGTAAGGACTTTACCACCTACCTGCTCCTGCAGACGGATCTCTGGGCTGCACAGAGTGGCCTGCAGAACGTTCTTGCATTTCCCCTTTCTCTTCAGGCTCAATTTGAATTAAACACATTGAGTCCAGACCCTGGAATGAAAGAGAAGCCTCAACTTCAGCTTCTTTCTCTGAACACTGGATGAGAACAACTGGAACATCCTGGGCCTGGCTCTACTGTTGCCCACTTGGTGTGGGGGGAGCAGAGGGTGGTGGTTCTGTCAACGGTGGTCTAGGAGGAGGCTCTGAAGCTGCAGTTTCCCTGATCAGCTCTCTGGATGGCCCCTGCTGGGCTTGGACAGTGCTGTCTTGCACCTCACCCACTTCCCCACACTACGTACGGTATGGCACCTGAGAAAAACAGGAGGCATCCAGGCAGTATTTGGTGTACTGAACTCGAAGATTTTCTTTTAACTTTAAGAGACAACAACATGTGGCAACATCAGAAACGGCATCTCTGACCAGACAGTGCTGGCAGCGCAGAGTTCATCACACATGGAAATGTATGGCCATCCAGGTCCAGTCTCTGAGCTGATTGAAGCTCTTCTGCTTGCAGTACAGACTGCAAGGAGATAAAGTGCATCACGACCCCATCACACACTGTGGAGGAAGAAAAGTAGCCAAGGGGGCGGGGAAAACAGAGGCTCACAGACTACTCAGGGCTAGAATTGGACAAGAACACAAAGCAGAGTCCTAGTTCTACCCGCATCTACTGGCCCAGAGTCCAGTCCATTGCCAGTGCCTCCGACCTCACACCATAGCCCATGCCTGGACATGAGCAGGGAGGGGCTTCCTGGAGCAGGAAGTCTAAGAAGGCAGGGCCTCCATCTCCATACTCATTTCTCCCAGTAGGTCAAGGTCCTTATTCGACAGGAAGCCCAGTATACCTGTGAAGCTCCTCCTCAATCGTGCAATCTGCAGTGTAAACACGTTCACAGACATGTATTTATACACACACAAAGCGCTCAGTGAAACTTGGCAGAACAGAGTATCAATCCTGAACTGTGGGAAACAGCAGGGGGCATGTAGTAGCCACCATTCAGTCTGTGTACCTGAAACGAGAGATATGGAGATCTTCCTCTGGGTCCTTGACTCTTAGTGGGCACCCAGGCCACGCTGTCCCTGGGGCCACCTAGCGTCTTGGAGGTTTCCATCCTGAGAACCGGATACATGGACCTTGAGCTATCGCTGCCAGAAGAACTGAGGGAAATAGGAGATGGGTGTCCCTTCGGTCATTCCTGGTCATTTGGGCACCCCACCCAAAGCCCCCTGTACTGTCCTAACCGCATCAGTATGATATCGCATGTGATTCCAGGGATGGAGCCCTAAGGCTGAGAACACAGAGATGGGGTGGTGCCAAAGCTCTCAACATCTTCACTTTTCTGGTAGCAGCCCGATCCTAGGAACCACAATGCCATCATCACCAGCTCAGAGGTCTGCAGCACAGAACTGCTCAGGAGCCCATGGTAAGCTCTAGAGAGGTGGGACATTTGGCTCTGTTGAGAGTAAATGGCTTACCAGGGGGTTGAGATTCTATTACTAGGTCCTCCACCACAGCTATTCCTGTCTTCAACATGACTTTCCATAGCACACTCCAAGGAAAGGCAGATGCCCAGCTTCCCTAACCAACGGTCTCTCTTTCTCCCTAGGTGCCCTGGCAACTCTCTACTCCCCCCCCCCCCCACAACACCGACCTTCCAGGTCGTGAAGAAGACTGCAGAAGGGGTGGGGGAATGAAGGTCCAGGGCAGGCTGAGCCCCCCCCCCTTCTGTGTGTAACAAGAGCAAACCAAGCCCGGTACTTGAGCACCATTGTGTTCATGAGATAAGGGAATATGTCTCCCTCACAGTGTTGCTGGGAGATATCAGTGCCCGAGGTACACTGGCAACTTTTCTATGGCTGGGCCAGAAAGCCTGAGCAACCCCACCATTCTCTAGGCCTCTACCAGAAAGGCCCTTCCTCTTCTAGGCAGGTTCTTCACTCAGCTACTCCCCGGGCTGCTCAGGAACAGAGGCAGGCATCTCTACATAGGGATCCATCTTGAAATGATGACAGAAGGGAGACATCACCCAGAAGACCAAGGCTTGAAAAAAAAGCCTTCAGAGTTGGCTTCCTGTGCACTCTGCTTCTCCACCCTATCCCGACAGCAGATGCTTGCTGCTGGAATCCTTCCCACTTCCCCAGATCCTGTGGCACACAGCTGCCAGGCTGCTCATGGCTGGAAGATGGGCTTCTGGGTCTCACCAGTGTCATCGCAGGTGCTGCTGGACAGACAGGGAGGATGGGAGAAGCAGGCTGTGGGGGAAAGAGACGATTGTAACCAATATTTCCTGTTCTTTCCTGTCTGCAGATGCAGAGAGCCTCAGGAATGCCCCAGACTGGGTTAGGGGAGCAACAGGGAGAGCAGGGGGAGCAGGCTGAGGACTGTCCCCTGCCCCATCTCCAAGAGTGCAGGAGGCAGTCTGGAGAAGGGCTGCACAGAGCTGCAGAGACTAACCTTGGGCCTGCATGCAAAGAAGGGGACAGACCTGAGGTTTGGTTCAGAAAAGAACTGTCCATTTTATCTGACCACCTGACATAGGGAGACCTTTGGACAAATATTTCCTCTTCTAGCACCTTCCTGGGGGCTCACTGGCCCAATTCACTCTGTCATTCGGGGTTCAGGTTACATCTTAGGAGGCTTCTACAAAAAAAGAGGGGGGGTAGAGAGAGAGAGAGAGAACTTGAGGCCTGGAAGATGGGAGGGGCTCCCTGTCTGTGTGTTGGTGATGAGCTGACCCTCCAAGATGTCATAGCCACCCAATACCCTATCATGGGACCACCACCAGAGACACGGGATAGCCTTGCCTACCTTTTCAGTTTCCAAGCTTGGCTACGCAGCAGGTGTGCCATGGCGTATTCCCTATTTCCACAAACGAGTTATACCCACCAGACCCCATTTCAACCTGTTCGTGCCTACCTTCCTGCACAGGGCCTGGTAAATCCTGCGGTAGCACCCCCTCTTTCGGGTTTTCCCTCTTTCTGGTCAATCGGAGGCAACAGGTTTGCCAGACTCTGATGATTCTCTGGATGCCGCGGAAAATGACTAGGCTGTTAAGTTTTTTTGTTTTGTTTTGTTTTTTGTTTTATGTGGTATGGGATGCAGTACTGTGGCCCTCCGCGGAGGCCTAAAATGGAGGGACCCAGGCAGTTCCGTCTGCACCCCCCCCCGCGGTCTCTAGGCACTGAGCGGCCCCACGGTCCTTCATGCGTGGCGCGGGGGTGGCGTGGGTGGCGCTCTCCACCAGTGGCCGCCGTTGTGGCTGGCGATGGCTCACTCGATCCGCACCTGCAGGCGGACGTTGAGCATCTCCGAGGCCACCATATAAAAGTAGGGGAAGTTTACACACAGCCGCCAGGCCAGGTCGAAAAAGGTGAGCAGCGTGCGCGTGAGCCCCTTGGAGAAAGCGCTGTAGGGGCCGCGCATCGCCGCCCAACGCGACAATCGCATTGCCAGGCCGAATAGGGCCGCAGCCGCAGCTGCAGCTGACAGGGCCGCAGTCACCGCCATCGGCCTGGCTCACTCTCTCACCTGCCACAAAGCCAGCCCAGGGCGTCACCTGGAACCATCCCACGCTGTAGGCAGCTGTGCCCTCGGGCTCCCGGGTCCCTGCAGCACCCAGTGCTCCACCTACCACCCTGCAGCCTCAGTTGCTTCTGGCCTTCCCGCCAGACCCGCCGCTTCTAGGCTCCGCCCCCTCGCCGCAGGCTCTGGGATGATTGAGATGGAGACCCTGCAGCAGGCTCACAAACTAGCCTCAGAGGTGGGTTAAATGCCTAGCCCCCCTGCACTCTGAGACCAAGGCCTGGACAAGCTGGTTTAGGGACCCCGCCTCTCGTTCCTAATGGCAAGGTCTCTGTTGAGCCCAGGCCCCCTCACTAGACCACTGTGATCCAGCCCCACACAGTATGAGTTCATCTTCACCTCCTTCCTGGTTGCTCAGTGCTTATTCCTGAGGACCAAGTGAATTAGAAAGTGCTAGTGCCAGAGTTGGCTCCTCTGAATCCCCTAGGATAATGGAAGTGTAGTAGGTTTCAACCACTTTGCTAATGTTGTACAGAAACCATATCCAGAAGCCCCTGCCTATGCACACCTTCATCCTTCTTCCCCAGTTTCCTCAGGATTATGTGGCCAACCAAAACCACGCACCTTTCTTGAATTCAAATAGAACTGTAACTGTACCATGGAGTGCTACGAAACCTATATTCAAGTATTATTTTCTATTATATTTACTGGTGCTGTGTATTTCTGTTTGCAAATTCCAACATAGCCCGTGGATTTCTAAGAATGCCCCCTTTAAACTGTTTATCCTGGTAACTAAGCAACTTTGTCTTGAATTTACATTTGCTCCTTGTTTATGACCCCTGACACAGTAGTGTGCTTAAATGCCCTTATTTTTTTCACCTGGCTTTATGATATGTAAACTAAACTAAACCAAGCTAGACCAAATACAATGAAAGCCCTACCTATTTAATGAAGCAAGAAATCCTCAGGCTTCTGTATGATTATAAATTTAAAAGCAGTCACCTTATTGCCTTTTAAGATTTTACAAGGAAGTTATACCTGAGTATTCCTCTCAAAATGCCTGTTCACCATCACGTCCCTTCCTGAACAACTGCTTGCGGGGACCAGAACATTCACATATATTTGGATCATTGTCCTTTTTTCTTGGTCGAGATTTTTGTTGTTGTTGTTTTGCTTTTTAAGGGAAACCTGAAACATTAAAGAGATAGTACAGCAGGACAGATCCACCATCCACGCTCCTGTCTGTTCCAAAACACATCATGACTACAGTCTTTGAGAATTAAGGGTAAATATGGACAGTCATGGGAAAAAAAGATTAGAATTTGTGAAAAACGGATCTGCCCTTAAAATGTCAAAATAATAATGTCCTTCTTTGAAGAAAATATTAAAGTGAGTAAAAAATAAGGATGAGTATAATGGACTTTCTTCTGGGTTTTTAAAAGTTTATTTATTTTATGTATGTGCATAGGTGCACACCTGTGTGCGTTTATCATGCATCAGGCATGTGCCTAGTGCCAATGAGGCATGCTGATGGAGGCCAGAGGATGTGAATGCACTGATGTGGGTTCTTGGAATCAAACCTGGGTCCTCATGAAGATCAGTAAGCATTCTTAACTGCTGAACTTTTTCTCCAGCCCCCTTAATGTGTTTTCAAAATTAAATTTGAGAGTGAAAAACCTCAAAAAGTAAATGCCAGCTAATGTAATGCTCTCCTTCTGCAGCTAAAATACTTAGAAATGTATTTTTAAAAAGAGGTTAAACAGACCTAAAAAGAGTGATACTTCTAGATTGCTGGGAACGATTTAAAATGCCAATGTTAGCAGAGTGCGAGAAGTTAATATGTAGATTGTAATACCTGTAGCGGACACTGAAATTGACTATATTAAATGCATTATACAGCAGTACAGATAAATAACAATGAAAATTTAGAAGTATTCATGTAATCCACAGTAGGGGAAGAAAATAGGAAAAGGAGAAAGAAACAGAATTAAGAGACAAAGATACATTAATATGTCTTAGTTAAATCCTATCAATACTCATTTAAATTTTGTTTTTGAGACAGGGTCTCACTGTGCAGTCCTGGCTGACCTGCAATTATCTATGAGAACCAGGCTGCTCTCAAACGAGGAAAAATGCCCCTGTCTCCTGAGTGCTAGGATAAAAGGTGTACCCCCACCGTGCTCTAAACAGATCAATTAGAAGACCGAGATTATCAGAGTAGATTAAAAACTCATTTCAAAATGTTTTAAGTAACTTGAAATATTTACTTAACACAGCATAGTTAACAATTAGCCAAGAAATTGAAAAAATATGAAGTATTCAACAATTCATGAAGGGATAAACAGTGTGTGGTTCCCATATACCATAAAATATTCAGTTATTAAAAAAACAAACACGAGTATAGCAGGTGGTCATTAAATAAGGACAAGTACAATAAAATTTCAATAAACAAATCTTTAGAAAATCCACCCCAACTAGAATAAAACATCAAATATTTTTCAAAAATGTTATGCTTCAAAGAAAACAGACAAGCTTTGCAGTCACATTGTGTCCCATGAATTTTTAACCCCACTGGCCCAATGCTTCACTGCCCTATTCTGCCCAACAATTTAGGAGTGGTTGTTTAGTAAAATTCAGTTTGCCCTAAGGCTGGAGCTTCAAGGGAAAGCAAAGCAAACACCTGCAGAGCTTACAGGCAGAAAACACACATGCTTCAGTTAGATTAAATTTGTGGTAGAAAGGGACTTGTCGCTAAATAAAAAAAAAAAGTATTTTACTTCTCAAGGGTATAATGAAAGGAACAGTAATGAAAGCCAGTGATAACTCTAAAAGAGCTTTGTTTATGATGGACCTTATAGTCTGTCTTCCAAGATTCAACCAAATCAAATAAACCAAGCCTAGTAACATTAAAAGCAATAGCCTCAACCAATGTATGATTCAATTCCCTTATAGTTCATATTCTATTTTCTCTTTCTCAGACCTTACAAACACTGATTTGTATTTCAATAGGATTTATTTATTATAGAACTTTCTTTATACACTAAAAATTAAATCATAAGGGAACATGTGATTAATACACTGCTCCATTTTTAAAAATCATTATACATCCAAGCATGCCGGAAAATACTTTTAACCTCAGTATTCAGGAAGCGGAGGCAGACAGAACTTGGTGAATTCCAGGCCAAGAGGGTGGTCTATACAGACTGTCTTAAAAAATAAAAATAAAAAATAGTTTTTAGATGGTTTTGACTGCTGTGGCCCATCATCACTGCTTTCTATCTGTACAATAACTGCTCTTCCCTTAATTTGCAATTTTAAGAGAGCAGTTATGAATGGAAAACTGTATATTATGTCCTGTTGTTACACATTTTTTCTTATCATGGAGAAGTGGTTAATGATAAAGAACTGCTCTCTTTTCCCTTCATTTCCTTTCTCAGTAAGAGGGTGTCCGTTTGTTGCCCAAATGCCAAATTTGTATTTTTGATACCCTTACTGCCAAACCTAATGACCTGAGTTCAATCCCAAGGACCCTCATGGTGGGAGAAAATCAGCTTCTGCAGGTTAGGTCATCCTCTGACCTCCACAGGCACGCAGTGTGCACACACATATGTGCATGCAGATGCACTAAATAAATGGATAAATAAAGTTTAAAAGAATGAAGAAATATCAGATTGAGAGCTCATGATACCTTGCTTACATTTATCTCCTTGGTGTTAAAAAAATGAACCCTGGCAGAACCCCTACAAAACTCCCTATGAAATTGTCTGTGATGTAAGCAGCTACGGCGCCTGTTAGGCCACTCGTCAAAGTGCCCCCCAAAACCCACAGGACAGGACTTCTGGCAGCAATTGTAAGCGTGAGCACCAAGCACTCAGGGGTAACATGATTTTTTTAAATTACTATTTATTCATGTATGTGTGTGTGTGCGTGAGCGCAAGGATATATATATATATATATATATATATATATATACACATATATGTATGTATGTATAGTAGTGAAATCATCAGAGCATGCGATCACCCTACATTTAGCTTTCTGAGAAACAGTCCAAGGGGAAGGAGAGTTGCTTTAGCTGCTGTGCCATTTAAACAAGCTCAGTCACAATACGTGAGCACTGTAACTGCTTTACAACCTGCCAGCACTTGCTATTGCTCACCTTTTGAAAAATCATAAACACTAATGTAGATATGATACAGCCATCAGTGTAGTTAAGTTTTTTGTTTGTTTGGGGTTTTTTGTTTTGGTGCTTTGTTTTGTTTTCGTTTGGGGGTTTCTGTTTTTTGAAACAAGGTTTCTCTGTGTAACAGCCCTTAGTGTCCTGGAACTCACTCTGTAGACCAGGCTGGCCTCAAACTCACAGAGATCCTCCTGCCTCTACCTCTTGAGTGCTGGGATTAAAAGTGTGCACCACCACCACCTGGAGCTTTATTAATTTTTATGGCTGACTATGTTAGACACACATGGCATATATGGAATGAAAAAAATATATATTTATATACAGAAAACTCAGGCCACATAGTGGTGATGCAGCTCTTGAATTCAAGCAGTAGGGAGACAGAGACAGGTGGATCTCTGCGTTCATGGCCAGCCTGGTCTACAGCGTTCCGGGACAGCCAGGGCTCCACAGAAAATCCTTTCTCAAAAACAAACAAACAAACAAAAATACAAAAGAAGGAAAAGAAGAAAACCCGGCAATACACATTTAACTCAGTTTAGTGGCAAGTTCCTTAGCCACAGATGTGGGACCCAGAAAGGCAGAGCTCACTGTGTCACTTACTGTAAATGGTCCTCAGAACCTCCACCAGCTTAACCTCTCAAGTCAATTTGTGTTAAAGGCAGTGGTGGTACATGTCTTCCTGTTCCTGTGGACCAGCTGCCCCCACCTGGCCTTCCTCTTGAGGATGCAATAGGGGACCCCCATCTTGTGACATCAGGAAGGCAGGAAGAGCACCAGCTCTCTGGTGGTTCTGTGTAATCTAACCTGGAGTTGTAGGTGAGCGTGAGCAGAAGGGTAACTGTTTGATAGTCTGGTTAATTCCAATAGGCAATTTTTGGACACTTATAAAAGAGAACCCTAACCCCATAAAGGCTCCCTCTATCAAGATATCTCTTTCTTTCTTCTCCTTCTCTGTCCCTCCCCCAACTCAACCATCCAGTTCCCTCATGCTCTCCTCCCTTGCCCTTCCCTCTCTCCCCAAGCTCCCAATTTACTCAGGAGATCTTATCTATTTCCCCTTCCCAGGTGCATCTGTGCATCTTTCTCTTAGGGTCTTCTTTGTTACCTAGTTTCTCAGGGGTTGTGGAATGTAACCTGGTTATCCTTTTCCTCATTCCAGAGATTTTTTTTTTAGTTCCATCCATATTATGGGGTTAGGGAGAAACCTGGTGCTAGGGAAATTCCCAGGAATCCACAAGGATGATTCCAGCTGAGACTCCCAGCAATAGTGGAGAGGGTTCCTGAACTGTCTTTTCCCTGTAATCAGATTGATGACTCCCTTATCATCCTAGAGCCTTCATCCAGCAACTGATGGAAGCAGATGCAGAGATCCACAGCTAAGCACTGAGTCCAGCTCTTGGAGCTGAATGGAAGAGAGGGAGGAGAGATTATATGAGCAAAGGGCTCAAGATCATGATGGGGAAACCCACAGAGACAGCTGACCTGAGCTCATTGCCTCTGAATTGACAGTTGGGGAACCCTAACAGCATGGGACTGAACTGGGCCCTCTGAATGTCAATGACAGTCCTGTGGCTTGGGTGGTCTCTGGGGCCACTAACAGTGGGAACAAAATTTATCCCTAGTGCATGAACTGGGTTTTTGGAGCCCATTCCCTATGGAGGGATACCTTGCTCAGCCTAGATACAGGGGGAGGGGTTTGATCCTGCCTCAATGGCTGTGGAGGACTTTGTTGACTCCCCATGGGAGGCCTCACCCTTTCTGAGGAGTGGATGGGGGTTGGGTGGGGGGGAGGAAAGTAAGGGGAGCAAGAGGAGGGGAGGGAGAGGGAAGTATGGTTGGTGTGTAAAATGAAAAAAAAAATAAATTAAAAACAAGAAATAGAAAGTGCTAGTAATTACAAAGGCAGTATTACCATAGACTATTATAAACTCAAGTAGTATTCAATTTGTAATTTTTATGACAAGAGATTAAAAAATAGTTAAAATGCAAAAATTCTTCACATATAAAATCTAAATGGCCTAATAGAAATTTCTAATTGAAAGTTTGACTTAAATATATCCCCAAATATATCCCAGGTCATCTGCCCTGCTCCACACTGTTCTAACAGCACTAATTTGCACCCAGTGGAATTGGATGAGAGTCGTTGTTAACAACACCCCCCCACACACACACACAAAAGAAGAGAACCAGCCCTTTGCCACTGCAGCTGAATGTAGCGTGGCCATCTGACAAAGCAGATGAGGTCTCTTTTGAGCAGCATGTCCTGTCCAAAGCCAAAAGTTCTTAGGGGTTTTTTTCCCCTTCAAATGGAGGATTCTCCATTTTTTTTTTTTTGCCTCCTAAGTATTCATATCAGCAGAGGCTGGTCCCACCTTTCCCCTTAGCGGCCTTGCCTTTCATCACACTGCTTGGCTGGGGAGAGAGGCACATGAAAAATTTTATTTATCCATTCACCCACTGAAATAGATTCCCAGTGTAATTCTATTGCCTTATTCTTGCTTTTGTTTCCAGGGATTCCGGAGTTCTAGTCGGAAACTATTGCTTCCTTTAACATTTTGGAGCAGCAACTTGTTGCTGTAAACAAGAAGCAATGCTTGCTCCCTGGATTTTCTTCTTGTAAAAATGGTCCAATAGGATGCGGTAGCTCATGCTTGTAATCCCAGCATTCAGGAAGCTGAGGCATCCTTTAATTCCAGCACTCAGGAGGCAGAGGCAGGCAGATCTCTGAGTTCAAGGCCAGCCTCATCTACAGAGTGAGTCCCAGGACAGTCAGGGTTATTACAAAGAGAAACCCTGTCTTGAAAAGCCCACAAAAGAAAAAAAAATTTTAAAAAAGAAACCTGAGACAAGATTACCACGAGTTTGAGGCAGCCTGGGTTAGAATAAAAATCTTATCTCAAAAACAAAACTACAATAACAAGCCATGAAAATGTGTACGGGTAGAGACTATTTTGGATTGACTACTAGATCCCAACTCTATGCGATGGATAAGCTGTGAAGTCCCGCCTTCCTACTTCCCATGACTCGTGGCCTTCATTGTGTAATCTACACTCCTATTGGCTGGTTGAGCAGGCTCACTGGCGCTCCACACGCTCCACACCTGGCAGTGTTGCCCCCTGCAGTGGGAGCCTAGAGCTGGTGTTCAAAGCACGGGAGAATAGCCTCTGCGCGAGCTGCTGTGAATTCTCCCGGGAGACAGAACTAGACAAGCGAAGCCTCACTCCTGGAACCGCTTGGTACTCAAGCTTCCTCAGACATAAAACAACAACAACCATGCACCGGGTAATTTCCAAATTTCGTGCCTTCTTTCAGAGGAAAGCAGACACCGAGGAAGAGAGAGAGGAGAAGCAGAGGCTCTTGGAAGGTATTGCACTAATTCTTACCCCAAAGAGACCTTCTCTTAGACAAGTGTTCCTTCTTGCTTTGGAGACTGAAGAACTTAGAAAACCTCTCCCTGGTTTGGTAGCGCCATCTTATTGCAGTAGGGCATCCCCAGATCCTTATGCTATGCCCTCCTACGCCATGCCCTCCTATGCTACCTGCTGGATACCACTCATGCATTGACTCATTCTAGAACTTTCTTGCCCAAAGTAATGACAAAAGGCAAAGAGAAAATAATGACCAATAAAAGCAAAATTATGGTGACTCTAGAGATGGCCCAGCGGTTAAGAGCATTTTTAGTTCTTAGATGACCCACATTCAGTTCCCAGCGCCCATATTTTTGGTCACAATGGCCTCGAACTCTAGTCCTTGGAAATCTGAAGCATTCTGCCCTCCTCCGAGGACTCGTGGTCCATATACATACACTCAGGCTCGTGCGCAAACACACACACACACACACACAATTTTTCTTTAAAAAAATCTTTAAAATCAAAAGGACAAAGTATAACAAAAGACAAAGAAGGCAGAGGAGCCACTGCAATATAACTGAGGAGCTATTGGCAGTTGATAGCTGCTGGGAAAGGAAGAGCCAGTTTTCTCTAAGGATGTGACCACTGGTAGGTTGACCACACTCCAAGGCAAGCACTAGATGGAAGATTATTTGGGAAGGACAAATTAGACTTGATGGGCTGAAAGAAAGACGGGGAGACTACTAAATTGGGTGACTGGGGGGGTGAATCTGGGAGGAACTGGAGCACGTGGGGTGGATCAATAGGCTCAAAATATATTGCAGGAAATTCTTAAATAACTAGTAAATAATTTTTAGACAAAAAGCAGTTAGGAAATGAAAAAGTGGGGGTGAGAGAGGGGAGGTGTCTGTGCCCAATGTTTGCATTTATCTGCATTCTTTTTTGGGACGTTTTGAACCTTTTGAGATCAGGTCTCCCTGTGTAAGCCAGTTTACCATCAACTCACAACTTTCCCTGCTTATATGTGTCCGAGTGCAGTTGTGCAACAGCACATGTCAGGAGGTCAGAGGTCAACTTTTAGAACTTTCAGGAGTCCGTTCTCTCTTCCCATTTTGTGGGATCAAGGAATCAAATCCAAGTATCAGGCCTGAGGACAAGGGCCTCTACCCCATGAGCCGTTGTGACAGCCCATTAGTTTTGTTGTCTTTACTGTCTATGACTTAGCTTTCTCTTCCTGGGATCAAATGCCTGAGACAAGTTAACTGAGAGGAAGAAAGGTTTCTTGTGGCTCCTACTTTCGGAGTGTTCAGTCAGTGGTTGCTTGGCTGTGTTTCTGGAATTCTGGCAAGACAGAACATCCTAGTGGGAAAAACGTAGGGCAGGAGAGCTGCTCAACTCAGTGCAGGCAAGAAGGAGAGAAAAAGATCATTTTCATCGCAAAGCCCTTCATCCTCAATCCATCAAGCAATATGAATTCATACATAGAATTGCTCAGCTAATGAGGTCAGGTCCTTCTTAACCCAAAGGCTTCCCTTTCACTGTGATCAGAACACAAACCACTTTTGTTTTCTGAGACAGGGTGTTTCTGTGTGGTCCTGGTTGTCCTGGAACTTGCTTTGTAGACCAGGCTGGCCTTAAACTCAGCACTCGCCTGTCTCTGCCTCCCAAGTGCTGGGTTTAAAGGCATGCGACATCACAGCCTGGCAGGGACTAAGCTTTTAATATGTTAGCTTGTAGATGACAATTAAAACCAATCTATAACAAAAACCAAGCAAATGAATCATGTATCTTGACCAGTAAGAAGATAGGAACCAAAGTTTACTTACTAACTTTGTATCTCTAAATGTATGCCCTGAAGTCTGCCACTGATCATCTGTCCAAGGGATTATTTTAAAGGTACGTATTTCATCAGTGAGAGTCCAGGAAATAGTGAGAAATGACTGGGATGAATGGTATCCCTCCCTGCTCAGAACGATATCCATTCTAATTAGTCAGCTACAATGTATGCTCAAAGATTCTAGCCTTAAGGCCTGAAAATCTCATTACTATTCACAAGCGTATTAACAAAAGAAGCTGTGGTATCACCCTATCCATGCCACAGACATTCAGGTAGGCAAACAGCTGGCCCACAAACTAGCCGTGTACACTCTTCTAGGCTTAGATGGCTGTTTCCCACAACTTTCTCTGCTAGGGCTTATTTGTAGTATGTGTTTGAACTTGAGAATAATTGATATATTTTTTTCTCTCTTCATCGTTTAGGTGCTGGCATGTTCCAAACAATGAAGGGAGTTGCAACAGGGTCCTGCAGTGGCTCTGGTTACCCTAATGAACACATCCTCAATGCTGGTGTCATGGTGAGCAAGGAACTTCTGAAAGTTAAGCAAAAAGGTCCTAAAGCTGTGGAAATAGATGAGATCATTCGCGGATTGAATGCGATCACAGTAAGAGTTGTATCTTCCAGGGACTGCCTTGTGTCTGAGTTCTTTCACCCTAGCCTCTATTCATTCAGCCGCTTTTGAGTAGACATGCTGAAGTGTATGGAAACCGAAATCTAACTTAGAGGGTTGTATGGAACATCTGATCTATTTAGAAAAGTATAAATTACATTATCTATTCCTCAGTATTTAACAATAATTATTAGAATTTATATTATCTTGTAACCTCCTCCTATAATGCAAATAACGGATATGTGTTATTTGATAAGTAGTTATGAGGCGAAAAGATATGTACTATAATCATTTTTTTTAAAAAATAGTTTTATTGAAGTATAATTTACTTACCATGGAGCTCTCCAAGTTTCAAACATTTTTAGATTTATGAAATCTGGATCTAGCACCCCAGTTCAGATACTTATCATTTAAATCTGTATATGCAAATTAGGCTTATTATTAGTGTCCTAATTGACACCAGCAGCAGCAGAATGCGCTACTCCCTATTTGCCAGGGCTGGCAAGAGTGACTGAAGTATTCCCAATCCTTGAAATTTTTAGCCATCTAAGAAGTGAAACACCAGCCAGGCTTCCACACGTGGAATGGCTCTCTGTTGGTTTGGAGACAGGGCACTGAGAGGTGGGAGGGTACACTGGATCATTCACATAGCTATGGGAGCCTGCTGCTTCTTTTATGGATAAAACTGAATGAATAAATTGGTACGGGCAGCTGGAGTTGGAGATTATGCAGAGGGTGAAACTAGGGTTTTCAGAATTGGAAACATGAAAATGAATTTATGTGAATCAATCTTTCATTCATTTATTGCCCCCAAACCAAATTTAATTAATCAACCCTATAAATCAGGAACACCACAATTTCAGTTACTCCTTTGCAGTGCGTTATGCCTATAGCTATATCTGGAGGACGAAAAGACTTTCAGACCTTACTAAAGTGCCATGAGCTGCCGTGACAGTAAGAAGCCGGGAACTAACTAACTCCATGAAGTGCTTGTACGAACATGGAGACCTGAACCAGCACCCACTTAAAAGCTGGCCGCCCCAGCATGACCTTTAGTCCCAGTGCTGAAGCAGAGACAGGGGAGTTCCTGGAGCCTGCTGGCCAGCCAGTCTAGGCAGCCCTGGCATTCTGGTTTGGTGAAAGAGCCTGCCTTGAACAATAAGGTGGAGAACAATTGAAGAAGATCCCAGTGTGGGCCTCTGACGTCTGCACATACAGGCATGAACATCTCTCAAACACACACACACACACACACACACACACACACACACATACACACACACCCCACACATTTTACAAGGGTAGGATAAACCAACAGTTTCATTTTCTAGACAGTCACATTTGAACGTGAATTCAACCACCCTTACATACCTTTTCTTAGGAACATAGGAACAAAAGTCTACTCACTCCAGTTAGTGCACTAAAGACAGACCAAAGAAATGACTCTGGCCAAGTCTAACTTGGCTATGTAGTGAGCTTATTGGAGTCTTATATGGGGTTTAGTTATAGGAAAACAGGTGACTTAAAGTCAACTCTGTCACCAAAAAGTGTACCCCACCATTGGTGATGACTTCTGAAAGCTGCATCCCTGGAATTCAGAGGAAATAGCTACTACATACGGGTCATTTACAATAAGACTAAGGTGGGGAGAGGGGCTATGGTCGGAATGTATTGTATGAGAGAAGAATAAATAAAAATTTAAAAAGAAAAAATAAATAAGGAAACTATAAAAAATGTCATTAAAAAAAAACCAGCATGGGAGAAGAACTGCTGAGACTCTCTTAACCCAAGCACAAAATGTCCCATAGGCCAAGACTGTTCAGGTACAAGTTCATGCAGGTTGCCTCGGTCCTTCTCCCAGTTCCTTCCATGCCCCAGGGAACGCTTCAGGAGGCAGGACAAGCCCAACCAGGCGCATTCTGGCCAATCTGCATCATAAACTGTTGCCCCAGGTTGAAGACAGCAGCTTGAGTTCTGGGTGAAGCCTGAGGCTGGGGGTTAGAGGAGGCAGGAGTGAGGAGTAGGGCAGTGTGGGTCTGTGCTGTGGCGTCCTCTTCCTTGTTCAGAAGCTCCAGTAAGAAGAGCAAGGCGCCCATGTTCGCAAGGTTACAGCCTGGTTTGCTGCCCCAAGTCACACAAGCATGCTTGAGAGCCCAGACTGTCGTTGGCCCTACATGGCTCACTGGCACAGCCTTGGCACAGCCTCCTTGGTGGCTTCCCGACAGCATTGCCTGCATTTCTTCTTCCCTTCAGCATGGCGTCACTCCGCACCAGGCACCCAGGGGCTCTGGAGGCTTCAGGAGCCACAGAAGATGTGAGAGCGAGACCTAAGTTAGATCAGGAAACAACAAAGCCCAGGGCCACTAGATGCTCTTACCATGGGCCAGCAGCTGTGGGGGGCTCTCGCTGGAAAGTTTTGAGCTTGAAATTCTGCTCCTGAGTGCTTATCTTACGTGTATATATTAGGCAAATGGGTAGTGTATTGGATTATAAACTGCATGTCCAATTGTGTGGAATGGAGCCACCAAATTATGGCACTTCCTTTTTGTGGGATGCCAAGTTATCTTTTAAAAAGTTAGTAAACTGACTTATTTGTGCTCATTTGGTTATATATTTATTACATGTGTGTAATGCTGTATTCTCCTGTAAAATAGTGCATAGGTAAATAATCTCGAATAAAGGCGGTCTTAGTGTTATAGTTCAGGGAAGAAAGGTACAGACCGCTACACATGTAAAACTGACGTCCTTTAGTAGCTGACAGTGGAGGGCAGGCCCTTGCCGTAAAGAACTCCCGGCACCGAAGCTTAGGGGTACAGAGTTTATAAAGGCAAAAAAACCACAATGACATTATTGTCAGGTATAGGCTGGGGGAACTTGGTTATATTAGTTTTGGTTATGCATTCAGTGTGCAATTTGGTTACCCATCCAGGCTATGGTGAAGGTCATGGAAAAATCCCTAATGTGTGGCTAAGGCTGATGTGACTGTTCAGGGCATTAGGGACTGAAAATTGCCTACACAGACACAAAATGAAGCCATGGTAAGATGTTATTTTGGTCATTTCATGAGAGCACGGCCAGCGGTTATTGCATAGGAAACAGACTTATGAATTATCTGTAATTTTTCTTGCTTTTGTACTCTTTTTTACATTTTATATGTTGAACATAAATTATTTTTGTAATGACAAAAGCAAAACATCAGATAAAGATGATTGCAATTCGAAGAAATAAAGATTAGATGCCCCCATTTTTCTTTAGATATGGCGCCAACTTAACTGTGATTTTTAGACCCTACAGCCTTGGTTGCTTTCTTCGCTCTCATACTAAACTCGGCCTGACCATGCTTAGCTTCCAAGATCACGAGACTGATAGTATTTAGGGTGGCATATGGCCACTAGATTTATTTTTCTCAAATTTACCTTGACATTCTTTTGTCTCCCTAGATGCTCTGGTCTGGAATCTTAGCATTTATCCCCTCCCCCTTTTCTGTATTGATGCTGGCTTATCCATTGTAGTCAATGTGGCATACAAAAGCAAGATGCTAATGATAGAAGCTAAAGATCACTTGTGGGAATGTGTAGCAACTCTCTGTATTTTCTTCTCAACTCTCCTAACCGGCTCTAAAACTACAGCAAAAATGATTGGAAGCTCAAGCATTATTTCATCAACACATTTCAATTTATGTGTCAATTGTCAACATTATTTGAACTATTGAACAGATTTTCAGGTTAAAATTTAGATTTTTTTTTAAACTTGAGTTTCTTTGAAATAACCATTTTTATTTCATTTGTTTGTTTACTTACTTTCCAGGTAGGTGCTTACTGTGGTGGCCATGATGAACCACCAGAGCGTCACATGACAGTGTCACTTGACTGTATGAAGTCTCTAATGGATGGTGTTGATCATATCAATCACGATCTGTCCTTCTCTCTCGACATTGTCTGTAAAGGTACACTTCGCCTTTTTATTTATTTACTTATTTGTTTTTGTTTTATTTTTTGAGACAGGATTTCTTTGTGTAGACCTGGCTGTCCTGGAACTTGTTCTGTAGACCAGGCTGGCCTTGAACTCATGGAGATCTGCCTGTCTCTGCCTCCTGCTTGTTGGGATTAAAGGCATGAGCTACATTTTTAAATTTAAAATTAGGTGTCTATTTTAAGTATTATTAATTCGGTTCCAGGTGAAATTTGAAATATGCTAATTTGATGAGAGGGTTTTGTATTACATCTACTACTGCTGTATACTTGGATTTGGGGTTGGATTGAACTTAGAGCTCCATGCTTGTGAGGCAAGGTCTCTACCACTGAGCTACATTCCCAGTTCTCTTCTTGGCTCTTATCAGTTTCACTTCAATATTTGAAGAAATATCTCGTATTATATGTTTTTTTATGTTTTTATTTGTTTGGGTATACTAATATTTGTGCAGCTGTTTTATTTATGTAGATATATAAATAGAATTTCTATTCTAACACTATTACATGAATGAAAAAATATTTCATAATAATTTGAGTGCTTTAAAATAAGGCTTGAAAATACCGCTTTGCCTGTCCATATGTGTGCATGTGTGTGTGCATTCAGTGTTGAAGTCCACTTGTATTTATCTGATATAACACTCTATTGTTTTATATCTAGAGCAATGACATGTTAATTTAAAGAGACTAATAAACTTCAATTTGGTTCAAAAGAGAGTTCTAGATATTGAGGGCAGAGGACAAAATATGGAAGACTTCATTAAACCTTTCTTATAAAGAGCTCATAGTGTCATTGGGAGAGATTGACACATGACTCCATCAAAATAGCCTGATGCAAAGAAACCGTGGGCAAAGCCATAGGAATGGGAGTGATGGCAACAATGAGAGGAAACAGACTGGTCTGTGTGCTGTTTAAGCTGCACTTTACACCCTGCCCAGCTAGTGTCTCTGCCTTTAATGATTAAGTTGGAGAACCAAGAAGAAATGAAAACTAGCAGTTTGCTGCATAATGAAATGTAAATCTAATGAAATGGAAACCTGATGCCTTTATTATTATAGGGCTTCCCCTCACCTTGAGACAGTGACTTCCTCTATTGCCTAGTTTTGTCTCAAACTGTTAGACTCATGCCATCTTCCTGCATCAGCTTTCCAGGTACCAGGCTGGGCTTTGAAAGATGAATTGAAGGAAAATAGACCATACCCACTGTAGCTTAATCAGGTGCCCTTTAGCTTGGAGAAAAAGAATGACATTGTCCCAGTACACAAAGCCGCTTTCTACTTTACTTTTCTTGGCTGTAAGAACCTGAACTTGATCTTGGTTGTTATGTCAGGAACCCTCTCACGATGACTGCTTGGTAGTGTCTGGGATTTTACGACATGTTTCCTCAGAAATTCTCAGTTTTCAGAGGAAAGGGCCCCTGTGATTGCTGAGCTCCAAAGACAATTAATTAGCCTGTCCCTTTGCCCATCAACAACAGGAAGGATGTGAGGAACACTCTTTTCAAAGTGGAAGGGCTTGGACATGTTTGTAGTGCAAAGAATATGGCTAAAGGTGCTGAAGAGAGCAGGAAGAGAGGATAAGGTTAAGTCCCTGAGCTATACATAGAGGACAGGTCCCAAGGCATAGGTGGAGAGACTTACCTCTGCGAAATAGTTAGTCATAGTAGCAGACTTCTCTAGGGTAAGAAAGACAGTGGCTAAAAAAGAAGTATTGCTGATCCCTAGCACTGGAAACAAGTCCTAAATGACCCAGTCACTTAGATAGAAAATTGTTAGAATAAGTACTATTAAATGAATACTACGAAACCCAGTGAAAATGGCTAAGAGTTCTGTTTATTATTATTATTATTATTGCTATCTTATTATCTGTGTGCTGCTAGATAATAATCAAATCATACTAAGTAAGCTACAGCCTCAGTAATTTCTTTAATGAGACACCAAAAGAAGTAAAACAAAAACCATGTTCTTTTGTCCTATACTGAGTAACAAGTATGTCATTTCCTTCCTGTTCATTAGACAGACACTTCACTGCCTCACTTTGTTTCAGTACTGCTTTCCTTTTTATCTTTTAAATGTTGCATGTGTGCATGTGTTGCCTGCATGTATGTATATGCCGCTGCTTGAATGTCTGGTGCCTACAGAGGCCCTGGAACTGGAGTTACAGGCAGCTATAGCCTCCATGAGGTTACTGAACACAGAACATCTGCAAGAACAGCAAGTACAGCAGGGCGATGGTGGCACACGTCTTGAGTCCCAACACTTGGGAGGCAGAGGTAGGCAGATCTCTGTGAGTTCGAGGTCAGCCTGGTCAACAGAGTGAGTTCCAGGACAGCCAGGGTTACACAGAGAAACCCATTCTTAAAAAAAAAAAAAAAGACAGAAAGAAAATGGCAAGTACCTTTAACCACAGAACCATCTCTTAGCCCTTACCCTTTACAAAAAAAAGTGTCTCTTTTTATTTATGTGTATGTGTGTATCTGTGTACACCACGTGTTGTGTGGGTGCCTGCAGAGAGACCAGAAGAATGCATAGACAAGCCACAGGTGGCTGTGGGTACTGGAAGCTGAACCTGAGTCCCTTGCAACATTAGTAAAATATCTTAACCATTCTCCAGCCCTGGGGTTTTAAATGTTAAAAATGTACTTTACATGTAATAGAAACTGTGTCGGGGATTACAGCATAGTGCATGGTGAAATGTCAGATTCCCTTGAATAAAGGCACCCTCCCTCTAACTTGATTTTCTCCTGTGACTGTTACAGATTTTGAACCTTATAAGGGTGACCTGGTAGAAATTGAGTTTTCGGAACAGGGAGACCCACTGAGCAGAAAGGCCATCTCGGTGAAGCCTCTGAAACACTATCATATAAACGAGGTAGTTCACATACTGTACTTGCCTTTGGGGCTGCCTCTCTTTCATTTAGTGGTCACTTTTGCTGCTCAGGATTATACTACAAGTGTTAGGAGACCTAAAATAAAAGCCTTGCCAAAATGAACTTGTTTTCTTATTCAAAGTACTGGAATTCTAAAAGGAAATGACAAGAATAATATAGTTCTTATGATGAAGTTTGAAGTTTATGTAGCCTACCTGGGAGGCGTCACAATGTGGTAAACACCATCAACACCAAAAGTCAGTGATCAGGTTTCTCGGAATTGTTAAGAAAAGTGAGCGGTGTGTCCTTTAAACTCCTGAGCAGTATGTGGGTATGCTATGGGTAGTAAAAACGGAAAACAAGTTGGCTTGCACTCACTTTGTACCAGAGGAAAAATGAAGGAATGTTCTTCTAGCGCAGGTGACGAGGTAGGGGAAAATGATAGCCTACTTAACAACCCATTCCTTCCCCACTCTTCTTTTCGAGCAGTCAGCCTTAACGGGAAGTTAGCAGTCATTGTGGGTAATCTTTAGAACCAAATTCCCTCAGCAGAGGCCTTGTTCTCATCCTCAGGGACTGTTTGCATTGCTGTGAGGTTGGATCTGGACAGGGATGTGCCTACATAGCACCTGAATGATGCTGTTGTGTAGAGTAGGGTGCAAATCTGTGCTGGGGTGAAGGGATCTGCTGGTTAGAGCCAGACAGAAAAGGGACAGACTCTGACCATGAATTACGGTTTCCCACACTCATTGGTACCGTTTTTTTTCATCCCAGGTTTGCATTACCAGAGCAGACGGACGAACTGGGGTGTTAGAAGACATCATCTTTTTCACCTTGGATTCTCTGAAACTTCCTTCTGGATATGTGCCTCAACGAGATGATATTGTCAATGTGGTTGCAGTACAGAGCATTCAATCCCCCTATTTCTGGAGAGCAATCACAATGACCCCAGTACAAGTATCATAGGAACCAAGCCTTTGTAGTTCTTCTTCACCATTACTTCTATGGCTGAGGGGCCTGGTTTAATGCAATAGTTTGAATTATTAAGCCAAAATATATGTTCAATATGTTTTTACTTGGAAACACCCTGATGATTTTGTTGGAAGTATGGACTCACTTAAGAAGGTGCCTGATCTATTCAGAGACATCCCCAAACTGGCTTTTGTCTGTAGCAAAGGAACAACACTTCATACTAGATCAAATTCTTTGTTTTCCATGGTCAGGAATGTATTGTGCTGCTAGTGGCCCTTGAGCAACATTCAGAGGGAGCTCAGCAAATAGAAGTGTGTAATATCTGAGTCCCCTTATACTGTACACAATGTTACTTTTTCCATAGCATTTTTCATTTCCCAGTACCTATTCAGTTTGTTAAATTTAATATCTATCTAGTGGAACCCGTACTTCCATGACAGAACGTGAGATTCGTATATACAGGGTTTGTGTTTATCCACAGCTTCTCGGCTGTGCCTGGTAGTTGAGGTAGATGGCATCTTGTTAACTTTAATAAACAAGTTATCTAAGCAACAGTCCTGTTTACCTGTGGTTAATTTGCCATTCAGTCTCCGGGAATGAAATGTTCTGTATGTTATCAGCTGTTTAGTTGCTGGGCATTTGGAAACAAAAACATTGCCGTATGGGGTGTGAATCAGCTTCCACGATCTTCTTTGTGGGAGAGGTGAAGCTTGTGTCCAGAAAAGCACTGGAACAAATCCGAAGCACCATGAAGGAAGGGGACACGGCCTTCTCAAGCTGGAGGCTGTTACTAAGATCCCATGGGTTTACCCCATGAGATTCCTCAATTTTTCTTAACAGCATGTACCCAGATGACTGTACTATTGTGAGGTATGTATCAATGTGTGGTGTCACTGAGAGGTAATGGTGAGTTCTAACTCTGTCCTAAGAGTCAACTTTCTACCCTATGCCACTGGCCCTGAGTAAGTTTGATGATGATTTTCCCTTACATTTCTAGTCAGCACTGTTGTGGGATAATCTTTTGGTACACTGTAAAGATGTGTGTCTGCCTAAGGCACCTTCTGATTGGTTTAATAGAAAGCTAAATGGTAAATAGCTAGGCAGGAGAGGATAGGCAGGACTTCCTAGCAGAGGGAGAAAATCAGGAGGAATCTGATGCTCAGATTTCTCCAGCAGACATGGGGAAAGCTAGACGTGCCATACTGAGGAAAGATAAAAAAGTCACGTGGCAGAATGTAGATTTAAAAATATGGGTTAATTAAGTTTTGAGAGGTAGATGGAGCCAGTCAGTGGTGGCGCATGCCTTTAATCTGGCACTCGGCAGGCAGAGGCAGACAAAACTCCTGAGTTCGGGGTCAGCTGTGTCCACAGACTGAGTTTCAGGATAGGCTCCAAAGCTACGAGAAACCTTGAAACCCTGTCTCAACACACACACACACAACAACAACAACAACAACAACAACAACAACAACAACCAAACAAAGAGCTAAGTGAAAACAAGCCTAAGCTAAAGGCCAACCTTTCATAATTAATAAGTCTCTGTGTCATTATTTGTGAGCTGGTGGTCCTAGCATTAAATTACTACTACAGCACTTCTCACAGTCATTGTATAATTAAAGACACAGGAGTGAACTGCTTTAATCTTAAGTAAATTCTCAGTAACTGTGATACTTATCACACAGTCATCTAGGTATTGGACTAATATCAAAAGCATGCATGACCAGGTTGTAATGGAACCTGGCTCATGCCATTGTCTCTCTTGTTCCTGACCCCAGGACCCATAACATAGGAAAGGAAAGCATGGGGAAGCTTGGAAAGCTCCAGGTCCCTGTGACTATCATCACAGGAGGGGTGGTAGGGACATAGCATTTAAGAAAACACAGAGAAGAAAAGAGGAAGGTGAGCTTAATGAAAAAAGCATTTTCAAAGCCATGGACTACCTACCATATGCCATGGTCAATTGCTAAACTAGGAGAGTAGCAAGCTGATGGAGGAAGGTCATTGGTTAAAAAAATAAAGAAACTGCTTGGCTGGCCCTCATAGGTTAGAACATAAGTGGGTGGAGTAAGCAGAACAGAATGCTGGGAGGAAGAGGAAGTGAGCTCAGACTCGACATCTCTCTCGGGAGCAGACGCCTCAGAAGAGACGCCATGCTCCCCTCGCCAGGCCAGACACAGGCTATGAAGCTCCGACCCAGGATGGACATAGGCTAGAATCTTTCCGGTAAGTGCACCTAGCTGTGCTACATAGAATATTAGAAATGGGCTAGTCCAGGTGCGAGAGTTAGCCTAGAAGAGGCTAGATAGAAATGGGCCAAGCAGTGTTTAAATGAATACAGTTTGTGTGTTGTTATTTCGGGCATAAGCTAGCCAGGCAGCCGGGGTGCTGGGGACGCAGCCCCGTCGCTCTTATTACTACAGCAAGCATGTACTTTATACACACAGGGAAGAGGCATGGTGAAGAAAGATAACATACCTTATGAGGAAAACCATATTCATGGGAATTAGATACCCAGAAAACACTCTGAAGTACTTATTTTCCTTCTGTAGCTATGGGAAAATTTGAGAAATAAAGACCTCCTTAGAAATCCTATGAGTATTTAAGATTCCTATTTCATGATGGAAATATAGCAATGAAAAATGAGGCAGGAAAATAGGGTCAGACACACATGACTGTGAGTCATAAGATTACAGTAACTGAAAAAAAAAAACATCCATTTGACTGCCGTAAGGATTGTGGGGGGAAAAAAACAACCCTTCTAGCAAAGAGCATTAATCACCTAAACAGCAAACAAAGGGTCCACCCTTTCAGAGAATCTTTACTTTCCCTCTGTAATAAAAAGTACTTGGACGCGTAAATGGGGTTCTTGAGCCACACACTCATTTGTTTGAGGAGCATATTTTATGCCTTTACTTGTACTTCTAATAAAACTAGACTTTAATTATTACTACCATATGTCTTGCTGAAATCTTCATTAGAGATGGAAAGAACCTGGCCTTTATGTCATGGTTGACCTGAGAGATTCCCTCCAGTAACAAGAGGCAAGTTTTTGGTGGGATCCCAGCACCGCAGAAAAAAGAAATTAAACTGCCCTCTTAATCTAATTATGCACTAATGGTCAAAGACTAATTTCTTCCAATATAAATTATACTAGTTTGAAAAAGGATGGTTTATATACATGTCTGTCTTTTTTAAGTTGGAGAACGGTCACTTTAAGGGATTATATAGGAAAAAAATAAACATGAAAGAGAACTTTTGCTTTTCCTCTAATGCGTTTTTGTCTAAACATATGTTTAGTTATATCTAAAGTTTCAAATTTATGACATCACACTTTTTTATGTTTCTCTTTAAAAATGCACTTGGTTTTTCAAGATAGGGTTTCCCTGTGTAGCTCTGGTTGTCCTGGAACTTTCTCTGTAGACCAGGCTGGACTCAAAGTCAGAGATCTACCTGGCTCGGTCTCTTGAGAGCTGGGGGTAAATGTGTGTGCCACCGCAGCACAGCACAAAATACACCTTTAAAAAGGCAAGTTATTAAACTATTAGTTTGATAATGAGTCTAAAAACAAATCTTCCAAACATTTGCTAACATTAGTATTCAGTGACACTCAAGGAACTCTATCTTTGAAGAAAAGTGTAATGTCCTTCAACAACGAAAAGTAATGATACATTATTTTTTTTTAGACAGAGTTTTACTCTGTAGTCCTGGATAGCCTGGAAATGGCTTAGGTAGATCAAGCTGGCTCAAACTCCCAGAAATCAGCATGCCTCTGCCTCCTGAGAGAGTGCTGAGGGTAAATGTGTGCTCCACTAGGCCCTGCCCTCATGATATCCTCCTTCGCGTTACTAAGGACATGTGTTATTTAACTGCAGACCAACCCCAATGACATTTGATACCCTGTGGAAATGAAATTCTTGAATGTCTTAAAATTAGTATGTAGGTAGGGCATGCTGTGGTACATGCCTTTAATTCTAGCACCTGGGAAGCACAGATAGTCAAATCTATGAATTTAAGGCCAACCTGGTCTATATACCAAGTTGCAGGCCAGGCAAGGCTCCATGAAAAGACCTTGTCTCAACAAACAAAACCAAACCTAGTATAAATTATCAGCTTGATTGATGTATTAACTGTTTAATTCCAAGATACTAATGCAGGCCCTTTAACACATTTTCTTAGAATGGGCTATGCAATTCAGTTAAGTATGGAAAATGGATTGGAGCGGTTTTTTTTCTCTTAAATAACAATGTAAACTAGGCATAGTGGTGCCCACCTGTTGTCTCAGGTACTTTGGAGGCTGAGATGCAGGGACTACCTGAGCTTATACACCAAGTTTATTTTTTAGTTCAGTGTTAGAAACCATCATGGCAATCACGGTAAGATCCTGTCAGAAAAAGATATGAAATAAAGCCAAGGTACCTTTGTATACCTGACGTTTGTACCTTTGGGACTGATATACTAAAGACTAAAGTCAATATCCAAACAATCATTTTTATTGAAAAAAGTTAACAATGTCATAAAGAAAAATCCACTCTATTATAACAAAAGAGTGAAAGCTTTGACATACAAGAATAGTTGATACTGACACAACTGGATTTTATTCAAAATAAGGTAAGACAAGGTGAACAAGCTAATGACTAAAGACCTTGCCGTATCAACCAGAATTTATCTTAAACTATGATTATTCGCTGGCACCTGAACCGTGTTCCTTAGGATGCATCATGGACTGAAAAGCCTGTTGAAGGCTAACCATCTCTTGCTGATGCTGTTAAGGAAAAGAGATAGTAAACAGGTTTATTTCTTACTGTCAGTGTATTCCTACAGTAGGAAATAAAATATTTCAGTGCTTTTATTAATTCCTATTTCTGATTTGAAATACAACTTACAGATTCTTTCATAATTTTTCTTCGCAGCCTGTTCATTTCTTCTTTAAGTTCATTGTGTATATCCATAAGCAGACAGTCGTTCTTCTTCTCCACATCCTCCAAATTCTAAACACAAAAGGCTAGTTTAGTCCCATGGCATCTTTCATCCCAAGTTCTAAGTTTTAAAATAAAATTTCAAGAGAATTTTAAGTATTTTAGTAATACACATTACTTTGAGAAAAAAGAAAAAAAAAAACAAACCTAATACACGAAGACCCAAATTACTACTGTTAAGCCACAAAATAACTCAGACATCAACCAAACAGAGTTATAGAAGATACAATGGCACACTGTGCTCAAGAAGCAGTTTTAGTGAATGTTAAGGTCAGGCTGAGGCCGGAGAGGGCAAGAGCTGGGCACAGTATCACAAACTTTGCAGGCGCCACTGGGAGAGCCTGAAGGCTAACATGTGGAATATAGACACTTTCTCTTCCAGAAAAAGGAAATGGAAAATAGAGAAATAGGAATTCTGAAAAGTCTTCTAGGCAACCATCATAACTGCGAACATTTCTAATGATTTTCTCAATCATCAGGCTACAATCTACTTAAAGACAAAAAGTCAATATAGCATGATGTGACAATAAATTTACCAAAGGGAAAAATAATCTATAGTATGAGATCATTTTCAAGTCATTAATAGCAAAATTTATATTATTGTTTTGTAAGAGAGTATCTCACTTTAGTGACCAGCTACCCTCCAACTGTCCACTCATCTGTCTTTAGCACTAATACTGCACCAATGTGCTGATCATTTAAAAATGATGGTTTAAATCTTTCCTAATCATTTGCCAATCATTGCCATTACATCACCAACCAAGTGACAAATACAATGTTAAGTGCTATGAAGAAAACAAGAGAGAATAATACATAATTGCTCATTTTTCCAGAAAAAATAAACATTTTAACCAAAAGCATAGTGGCCGTGAGGTGGTGGTGCACTCCTTTAATCCCAGCACTCGGGAAGCAGAGGTAGGCAGATCTCTGTGAGTTCGAGGTCAGCCTGGTCTACAGAGTGAGTTCCAGGACAGCTAAGACAGTTATAAAGAAAAACCCTGTCTGGAAAAGCCAAATATATGTATGTATGTATTATGTATGCATGCATATAATTTATTATATATATATATATATGTGTGTGTGTGTGTGTGTGTGTGTGTGTGTGTGTGTGTGTGTGTGTGGCAAGAACTATGAAGAATGAATTGAAAGTCAGAGCAAACAGTTTTAATAGTAGAAGCAAAGGATGATGAGAATATTAAATAGTATAAGCTAGGATCTCAGCAATAGGACTTAAATAAATAATGAAGCACTATGGAAATGAAAATCGTCAAAGTCTAGTAGTGAAAACATGGGCTATGAAGAAATTTGAAAATAGTTTCAGGGAATATTAGAGCAAACTTGTAAGAGCTGCATTCGGAAACACATAAAATAATTTTCTTTAAAATATTTTAAAACTATTGTTTATACATCAACTTACTAGCATATACTTAATTCTCAAGGAACAAATTTTAATCTTTGACTATTAAATTCTAGGATAATGGATAAGTTATTTTAGCCATTGGAATAATTTTAAAAATTGACATGCTAGAAAAACCTCCCTACTAAATTTCAAAACAAGGTTTAATTTAACTTGGGTCCTTCCTGGGGCTGGAGAGATGATTCAGTAGGTAACAGCAGCCAGTGCTGGAATTGATGACCAGCACCCACAAGGCTGCTCTCAACTTTCTGTAACTACAGTTACAGGATATCCTTTGCACTAAATCTTTTCAAAAAGGTATTTTGAGCCTTTCCTGTTTAATATATATGAGAATTACAAAGATCATAGAAATGATATGTAGACTTTCTCTTTCCAGTTCAATAAAGAAAATGAATATACTTGAAGTATGACTATTAATATATGTGAAGCATATATCTATGGAAAACTCATAATTTGCCATCTTCTATCTGAAATAACCACCATAAAACCATTAGAATTCTACAGATCTACCACATCAATTAAAAACAATTCATTCAAAATGGAAATTACCTTATTCTGGTAAGGAAAATGTACATTATATCTTTAGGAACATATTGTTATCATGTCTAACATACCTTTATGAACTGCTCATGTATTTGTTTAATTGTTTTCAGTCTCTTGCTCTGAACGAGTCTACACTGTTGAAAAGCCTTTTCTTCCTGTTGAAAATCATTCTACAAATACAAAAGGAAAAACTGTATTAACAGTTTAGTAATGGTTGGTTGTTCTGGGCCTCATACATGCACGACAAACACTGTCCTTTTGAGCTACAGCTTAATCTCTAAAACTTTAAATTAAAAAAAAAAGTCTATTTTAAACTCAGAAAAAATATTTTAAAATGACTAACTTTATTATTTCTCTTTAATAACCATTATGCCTGTTTAAATTATTCTCTAAACACTAACATGTTATAAACCTTCTTCATTAGCTTCCTAAAATTATAGGCCAGATAAGGTAGATAATCATTTTCAAGACACCATTTATTCTTGGAAATTTCAGTCTCCAAACAAGCCCAGCTTTGTTTTCTGAAACTAACACAAGAATAGCTTCTCTATGCATATTAATTAGAATTGTGATACCAACCATTAGTTTTACATATTTTTCCTGCACTTTCTGAAAATCCAAATCCCATTGCTGAAACAGATTTGTAAATGCCTGAGCAGACTCTTCGTTAAGCTTTGCCCTGTAAACATAATAATGAATGGCGTTACTTCTTATACTAGTAGGAAAGTAACATTCAAGCCAAAATTGAGTTGATACACTATTATAGTGGAAAAAGAAAGTAATAGCAGTTTAAATATTCTGATGGAAAACTCAGAAGTAAAATTAGATTTACACTGATTCCAGAAGTGCTTCTTCCTAAAATAAAAGTCTCCCCTCTCATGGGGACTTTTGAAACCTGGAAATTTTATCATATGTATATCTATTTTCAATATAATATTTTCTCCAAAAAGTTTATTTTTCATTTTTTTCTACTTAATATAGAGTCTTAAAAATACTAAATGATTTTCAAACAAAACATTTCACTAAGTTCCCCACTCCCCATTTTGGCACAGCCACAATCTAGTATAAACCAAGGGGTCATATTCAAATTGACCTCTCTCTACACCATCAGCTATGGTTAAATAACAGTTATTAGATTCTATTCATCTAAACTTAACTAATTTCAGGAGTGAATAATAAAATACCAATTGTTATTTAAAGGAGAAAAACCTAATCTTCATTGGCTTCTGTGAAGCAACACTATAAAGATAGGAGGTCATGAAGGCACCTGCCTAGAGAAAAGTCAAATATTTTCACTAGAGACTCAAACAGAAAATGACATTTTTCTTAAGTGCTTTACATAAATATATATTAAAAATTGGTACAGACAGGTTTTTTGTTTGTTTTCTTTTGTTTTAGGAAAGAAAAACCTTACACAGCATCTTCACGTGAGTTCCAAACTTGTTTCATATTCTGGTCAATTCCTTCCAAAGACTTAGTATTTGTTTCCAGTCTTTGTCTCTTAGCAGTAAGAGCACGGTTAATGTCAACTGTATTTTAAAAAATGTTCATTAGAATTCAATGCTTAAGAAATTACTTTGTTCTCACACATTCAAGTAATTATAAATTCTAATAATGCTCACTCATCAATAACAAACATTTAAACATTTAACATTTAAAACTATAGTGTCAATATGATACAGCTTTCATATTTTGAACACCTAGAATTTTAGATTTTCTGACTAGGTCTGTTCAGTCAACAATTTCTATGAAAACATTCCAAATCCAAAACTCTGAAATCTGAAGCATTTCTGGTCCCAATCATTTTTAATAACCATATGGTAATTAGGATTTTCCTAACTGAAGACGTTTTTAGAGGTGACAAAAATGAACTAATAAACAAAGCAAAGGGGAAGTATAGGATTTATGAAAAATAATTAAATAAACGCTAACTACTTCTAAAATTTATAAAACACTCTATACTGGAAGCGTGCATTTGCCTGAATTCTTGTTAGAGAAGATAGAATAAAATTGCTTATTAAAAATATACCCTAAAAAGGTTAATTTGTCAACATTATTTGTAAGAGAGAGTGAATGAGAGGCTGGGGATGTAGTTGAGTTTAAGCACTTGCCTAGCATATCTTGTTTTGTATGCTATGGTTACTATTTATATTTCATTAAGCGTTTATAGGGCTTTTTTACCACTATGGACAGCAAGCAGTTCATAAAAAATTTAAATTTCAAATATGCTGTGGTAGCAAAAAAAAAAAAAAACCCGACAGTGCACCGCTGCTAACTCCAGCACTGGAAAGGCAAAGACACACAGATCTCTGTGAATTTTTGGCTAGCCTGGCCTACATACCAATTTCCAGGCCATTTAGAGCTACATTGTGAGACTGTATCTCAACAAGAAAAGAAAATTCTTATCAGTTACTTTTAATAAGCATAAGAAATTTCTATTATATAAATAATTTAGAGTTTTAGTAGCTAAAATTTTTTCATACAACACATATATGGAAGAGATAATTTCAGCAGCTAACACACGTATTAAACAACAAATTATAAAACATGTATCTTGACACCACTAAATAGAGAACATCTTTCAAAAAAGCTGCTTATATGAGTAATCCTTAAAGAAGCCTAATTTTAACTGTTTTGTAAGTGTATATGAATGGGGGCATTTTGCTTTCATCTGGTTAGGTCTGTGTACCATGAGCCTCGTTTCCACTGAATCCAAAAGGCATCACTGGATCCCCTTGGACTGGAGTTACACATAGATGGTTGTGAGCCACCATAAAGGTGCTGGGAATCAAATTGGATTCCTTTGGAAGATGCCAGTGCTCTTAAACGTCGAGCCATTTCTCCATCCCCTATTAACTCTTAAAATAATACTATCCTTGGTTGGGTTTGTTTGTCCCTGTAATCCCAGCACCTGTGAGGTTGTCAGGTGATCTACAATATTAATGCCAGTCTGAGTTCCCTATGAGACGATCTCAAAACAAACAAGTAAACAAGCAAAAGTGAATATTCTCCCCAAGAAAGCCGATGTAATTGATCCTTAACAAACTTCGTAAAACAAGGTTTTAGGGTTCAGATTTTAAACCTCTGTTGGCTATCTAATTTTCTTCTTAGATTATAATTTATTAGAATGAAAATAGTAACAAGGAGTTATATTAGAAGCTTCAGTTTTATACTGCCTAGAAAGGAATGCAGTATAAATCCTAGGAAATAAAATGATTTTTTAAAAAGAAACTGATATACAGAATAAAAGAAACTGATATATAGAAATAGTAGATGGTTTCCTCTTTTCTTCTTCTAAAAAATCCATTGAAGTCACATATGTCTAAAAGCATTATTTTTACTTTTCTCATCATGAAAAACTATAAGGAAGAATATGATGCTAAATCACAAATATTTTATGAAAATCTTATAAATGAGAACAAAGCATTGAAGAGTAGGCATGTAATATACTGGTTAACATATTATATGCAAATTATTATGTAGTTTTAAATAATTTTCTTTAAAAAAGTATCTTTAAAACATACCTGAAACTCTTCCACAAAGAGCCTCTACCTTTTCCCTAAGAAGAAATCACATTTTAAAAATGGCACTGTAGTTCAGTAAAAGAGCATTTTCCAAGCATTCACAAACTCCCCTATTAAATATCAAATACAATGACAAACACTGTTTTGTGAAGGATTCATAAGATATAACAGTTTGGAAAAAATAGCAAATGTCAAGTATCTTATATATACTACCTGTTACATAAACAAAGCAAGTATTTCTTGAAATATATTATTCAACAGTCAAACAATTTTTAATATATTACCCCATATCTACAAACAGTTCTACGGGACTTCTCCTTCCAGGTGAATCACTTGATGAACTCTGTTCCACTGACAAGAAAAAAAAATTTGAAATTAAGAACACTTCTAACAAACAGTAATAAAACTATGTTTGCAGTTTTTTCAGACATTGACAACTTAAGCTTTTGTATTAGATATAGAAATGCAATTTTTTCTTTGAAGGTTAGATGAAGTTAAATCATGATTCATGACCATGTGTAGGAACAAATTTTGAAGTGTTTCTAGGATAAGATTACATAGCAAGTTATTTATCAATCAACATGTTAGGAATTCAAAGGCAAGATACACTACGTGGATTTCTAAAATTTAGGTATAGGGATATGGAGAGTAAAGTACACAGAATAAACTAACAAATTGTAAGTGTATTAGGTTCAATACAAAAGAGCTGGAGCAAAGTATCAACACATTCGATGCCTTTAAATTTTTTTATGTTATTATTAGTAGTAGACACACATCAGTGTGGGAATCAGAGAACAGCCTTCTGCAGTAGATTTCTTTCCTTCCTTCTACTATGAGGGTTCTGGGAATCAAACTCTGGTCCTCCTGCTTGCAAGGTAAACACTTTTACTCCCAGAGCCAGTTTGGCAGCCCCCAACATTTGACATCTTATACCTTGAGTATCACTCGGAATTGAAACACAGAAATCCGGTTCATCGTCTGAGTCATAAATTACTATGTGCTCTTTCTCCGCATGTGAGCTTTCAGGCTCTTGGGGCTCTTCCGGATCCCTTCTTGCATGGGGAAACATAACTGTATATTTTCTGTTTGAAAACACAAGAAGAAAAACAAATCTCTCAAAACAACTGAATCCAAAGGTATTATTTAAGTAAACTGAGAAAGCTATCAAATAAAATCAAGATGTTCTTTTTTTTATATATTATTTATTTATTACGTATACAATATTCTGTCTGTGTATATGTCTGCAGGTCAGAAGAGGGCACCAGACCTCATTACAGATGGTTGTGAGCCACCATGTGGTTGCTGGGAATTGAACTCAGAACCTTTGGAAGAACAGGCAATGCTCTTAACCACTGAGCCATCTCTCCAGCCCCCAATCAAGATGTTCTTATGTGAATAAAGTGTTAACAATTTTCTTACTTTACTGCATCCAAAGGAAAACAAAAATGGCAGTTGTCAATGTAAAAATGATACACAATAGTGGAAAAAGTAAAGGGTGCTCGGGTTGTTTCTAATGGATTTGAGGCTGACCCCAGAAGTATAGAGATAGCGCCTAGAACATTTCTGGCCTTTCAGATCCTACTGAGGACCCTATTCCCTCCTCACCATGCCAGCTCCCCAGCTCTACCAGGGTCCCTGGAACCTCTGCTTCCCTGGGCCTTTTGTTGTTCCTTATCCCCCTAACTCTTAATCCCTTTAGCTCCCCCCACCCCTGTACTCACCCTTTCCCCTAGAGCCCTTTCCTCACACTGAGTTCCTCCTCGACTCTAGCTCCTACACGCTTTTCAGTACTGCACTCCCTCTCCAATACTAAGGACTAACACTTCATACTCAGTCTAGCTTGTCACTGCCTTTCATGTTCTCCTTGTCCCAAGAGACTCCATCCCTGCTAACCTTTTCCCAGCTCTCCTAACCTACAAGCTCCTCCTAACCCTCTAAATCTTTCTTACTTCTACCCTCTCCCCAGTTCTGCCTCACCTCATACACTCCCCAGTTCTTCCTCATCCCTAACTCCTCCCCAGTAACCTCTCCTTGACTCTTCCTCACCCCCAGTTCTTTTCTTCTGTCTGCTTCCCCCTTCCTCCTCACCCCATTGCAGTCCTTCCCCCAGTCCCTCCCAAGCTTCTCCTTGTCCTTACTCCCTATTCAGGTCCTCCTCCTTGGCAACCACTATCTAGAACCTTCTAATCCCCAAGACCTCCCCAGATCCTGACCTCTAGCCCCTACCTAGCTTCAACTCCCCAAGTCCCTCCTCATCCCTTTTCCTTCTGGTTCCCCATACGTCCCCAGCATCTTCTCACCTACAGTCCTTCCCAAGATCATCCTCACATCAGAGCTCACCCTTGTTCCTAGCTTCCCCCCAGCTCCTCCTTACCCATAACTTCTCCCCAGCTCCTCCTAACCTCCCAGTTCCTCCTAACCACCAATAGCTGTCCCCTTGTTTCTAGTCCCTCTCCAGTTTATTCCTCATCCCATCTAGCATCTCCTACCCCTTAACCCTACTTACTCCTACTTATTCCAGCTCCTCCCCAACATCTAGTTCCCCTTTGTTTTTTCCATTTGCCCAGCTCCTCACTCCAGCCCTTGTCAAGTTCATCCTCACCCCTAACTCCTTCCTAGCTTCAACTCACATCCAGCTCCTCCTTACCCTTGGCCCCTCCCCAGTTTGGACAGCCAGCCTCTCCTTTCCGCTCCCCAAATCCTCCTCACTATGTATTTCTTCCTAGCTTCTCGGGCCTCCCCAGCTTCTCCTCATCCCCAATTTCCTCCTTGCTCCTAATCACTTCCCTGGTTCCCCCTCACCCTTAGCCCCAACTGCCAACTGGCCTCCAGCCCCTCCCTATATCTTCATTCTCACTCTAGCTTGTCTTTATTCCTAGGCCCCATGCTACTCTGCCGCACCACCCTCTGCTTGGAGTTGCCACCTCCATAATGACAGCAGAGACCTCCCCCATCCTCTAAGCTTTCCTTCCTTCAACTTAGGCTTTAGTCGGCTCGAGGAAAGGAACCTCTGTTTTACTATCAGAGGCCTCAATGGGGTTCCCGGCCTGGGCCACCTCCATTTTACTATTCAGTGGCCTCGTTCGGTCACCTCCATTTTACTGCCAGAGGCCCCACCGAGGTGATGGTCACCTCCATTTTACTATCAGAGGCGCCAGCAAGATTCCGGTCACCCCATTTTACTATCAGAGGCCCCGGCAAGCTTCCGGTCACCCCCATTTTACTATCAGAGGCCCCGGCAAGCTTCCAGTCATCCCCCCATTTTATTATCAGAGGACCCACAAGCTTCCGGTCGCCCCCAGAGGCCCCAGCAAGCTTCCGGTCACCCCCATTTTACTATCAGAGGCCCCGGCAAGCTTCCGGTCACCCCCATTTTACTATCAGAGGACCCGGCAAGCTTCCGGTCGCCCCCATTTTACTATCAGAGGTCCCGGCAAGCTTCCGGTCACCCCCATTTTACTATCAGAGGTCCCGGCAAGCTTCTGGTCACCTCCATTTTACTGCCAGAGGCCCCGGAAAGCTTCCAGTCACCTCCATTTTACTCAGAGGCCCCGTCAAGCTTCCGGTCACCTCCATTTTACTCAGAGGCCTCGGAAACTTCCGGTCACCTCCATTTTACTCAGAGGCCCCGGCAAGCTTCTGGTCACCTCTATTTTACTATCAGAGGTCCCGGCAAGCTTCCGGTCACCCCCATTTTACTATCAGAGGCCCCGGCAAGCTTCCGGTCACCCCCATTTTGCTATCAGAGGCCCCGGCAAGCTTCCGGTCACCCCCATTTTGCTATCAGAGGCCCCGGCAAGCTTCCGGTCACCCCCATTTTGCTATCAGAGGCCCGGGCAAGCTTCCGGTCACCCCCATTTTACTATCAGAGGCCCGGGCAAGCTTCCGGTCACCCCCATTTTACTATCAGAGGCCCCGGCAAGCTTCCGGACGCCCCCATTTTACTATCAGAGGCCCCGGCAAGCTTCCGGTCACCCCCATTTTGCTATCAGAGGCCCCGGCAAGCTTCCGGTCACCCCCATTTTGCTATCAGAGGCCCCGGCAAGCTTCTGGTCACCCCCATTTTACTATCAGAGGCCCCGGCAAGCTTCTGGACGCCCCCATTTTACTATCAGAGGCCCCGGCAAGCTTCCGGTCATCCCCATTTTACTATCAGAGGCCCCGGGAAGCTTCCGGTCACCCCCCCATTTTATTATCAGAGGCCCCGGCAAGCGTCCGGTCACCCCCATTTTATTATCAGAGGCCCCGGCAAGCTTCCGGTCACCCCCATTTTACTATCAGAGGCCCTAACAAGGTTCCGGTCACCCCCATTTTACTATCAGAGGCCCCGGCAAGCTTCCGGTCACCCCCATTTTACTATCAGAGACCCCCCCCACAAGGTTCGCACATCCTCCATTTTACTATCAGAGACCCCCCCCACGATGTTCTCACCTCCTCCATTTTACTATCAGAGGCCCCGATGATGTTCACACCTCCTCCATTTTGCTATCAGAGACCCCCTACGAGGTTCGCACCTCCTCCATTTTGCTATCAGAGGCCCCGGCAAGCTTCTGGACACCCCCATTTTACTATCAGAGGCCCCGGCAAGCTTCCGGTCGCCCCCATTTTACTATCAGAGGCCCCGGCAAGCTTCCGGTCACCCCCATTTTACTATCAGAGGCCCCGGCAAGCTTCCGGTCACCCCCATTTTACTATCAGAGGCCCCGGCAAGCTTCCGGTCACCCCTATTTTACTATCAGAGGCCCCGGCAAGCTTCCGGTCACCCCCATTTTACTATCAGAGGCCCTAACAAGGTTCCGGTCACCCCCATTTTACTATCAGAGGCCCCGGCAAGCTTCCGGTCACCTCCATTTTACTATCAGAGGTCCCAGCAAGCTTCCGGTCACCTCCATTTTACTCAGATGCCTCGGAAAGCTTCTAGCCTCCTCCATTTTACTCTGAGGCCCCGGCAAGCTTCCGGTATCCTCCATTTTGCTGCCAGAGGCCCCCCGACGATGTTCACACCTCCTCCATTTTACTATCAGAGAACCCCCCCACGATGTTTGCACCTTCTCCATTTTACTATCAGAGACCCCTGACGAGGTTCGCACCTCCTCCATTTTACTATCAGAGCCCCCCGACGAGATTCGCACCTCCTCCATTTTACTATCAGAGGCCCTGACGAGGTTCGCACCTCCTCCATTTTACTATCAGAGACCCTGACAGGGTTCACACCTCCTCCATTTTACTATCAGAGGCCCCCGACGAGATTCGCACCTCCTCCATTTTACTATCAGAGGCCCTGACAGGGTTCGCACCTCCTCCATTTTACTATAAGAGCCCCCCGACGATGTTCGCACCTCCTCCATTTTACTATCAGAGATCCCCCCCACGAGGTTTGCACCTCCTCCATTTTACTATCAGAGAACCCTGACGAGGTTCGCACCTCCTCCATTTTACTATCAGAGACCCCTGACGAGGTTCGCACCTCCCTCATTTTACTATCAGAGACCCCTGACGAGGTTTGCACCTCCTCCATTTTACTATCAGAGACCCCCCCCCACACACACAATGTTCGCACCTCCTCCATTTTACTATCAGAGACCCTGACAGGGTTTGCACCTCCTCCATTTTACTATCAGAGTCCCCGCCCCTACGATGTTTGCACCTTCTCCATTTTACTATCAGAGACCCCCCCCACGATGTTCGCACCTCCTCCATTTTACTATCAGAGACCCCCCCCCACGATGTTCGCACCTCCTCCATTTTACTATCAGAGACCCCCCCCACGATGTTCGCACCTCCTCCATTTTACTATCAGAGCCCCCCCCACGATGTTCGCACCTCCTCCATTTTACTATCAGAGCCCCCCCCCACGATGTTCGCACCTCCTCCATTTTACTATCAGAGGCCCCGATGATGTTCACACCTCCTCCATTTTGCTATCAGAGACCCCTGACGAGGTTCGCACCTCCTCCATTTTACTATCAGAGCCCCCCGACGAGATTCGCACCTCCTCCATTTTACTATCAGAGGCCCTGACGAGGTTCGCACCTCCTCCATTTTACTATCAGAGACCCTGACAGGGTTCACACCTCCTCCATTTTACTATCAGAGGCCCCCGACGAGATTCGCACCTCCTCCATTTTACTATCAGAGGCCCTGACAGGGTTCGCACCTCCTCCATTTTACTATAAGAGCCCCCCGACGATGTTCGCACCTCCTCCATTTTACTATCAGAGATCCCCCCCACGAGGTTTGCACCTCCTCCATTTTACTATCAGAGAACCCTGACGAGGTTCGCACCTCCTCCATTTTACTATCAGAGACCCCTGACGAGGTTCGCACCTCCCTCATTTTACTATCAGAGACCCCTGACGAGGTTTGTACCTCCTCCATTTTACTATCAGAGACCCCCCCACACACACACACAATGTTCGCACCTCCTCCATTTTACTATCAGAGACCCTGACAGGGTTTGCACCTCCTCCATTTTACTATCAGAGTCCCCGCCCCTACGATGTTTGCACCTTCTCCATTTTACTATCAGAGACCCCCCCCACGATGTTCGCACCTCCTCCATTTTACTATCAGAGACCCCCCCACGATGTTCGCACCTCCTCCATTTTACTATCAGAGACCCCCCCCACGATGTTCGCACCTCCTCCATTTTACTATCAGAGGCCCCGATGATGTTCACACCTCCTCCATTTTGCTATCAGAGACCCCCTACGAGGTTCGCACCTCCTCCATTTTGCTATCAGAGGCCCCGGTAATGCCGATGGGCAATTTGCTGTACAAGTAAAATGGTGCCTGGAACCCCGGCCTCCCTCTATGGGACAGACTCCCCCCTCCTTATTCTCCTTCATTCTCGCACTCCTTCCTCCTCAAACTCACCCCTTCCTCCTGCCTGAACTAACCCCCCTTTGGCTGAACCAGGCTTACCGTCACAAAATGTGATCACATTCACAACTCAGATCTCCTTCAGCCAACTGCTCCGCTTCACTGCTCCGCTTCACTACTAGGAGGAGCTTCTGGGGTAACCGACTTTAAATGGAAGGCTCAACCGGGAACCTCTTTGATTGGCTGAATGCTGTGCGCATGCGTGTGTGGGTTACTAGGCTCTTCTGCGAATGCGGGCAGAAATCACAGTGAGGGCGGAGCATCCTGTGGTGGGTTGGTGCCTTGACAGAGGCAGGGCTTGGGTATGGGTGGTTGCAGCTCTTGTGGGCTCCTGGGGGGGGGGGTAGGGCTTTGCGTGCAGGAGACGGCCCGTGTGTAAGGGGAGCAGCTGTGGGGGATAGGGTAAAACATAGGTATAGCAAATCAGAAAGGGACAAGTTGGGGTTCACAGATGTGGGCCATTAACTGGTCCATTAGAATCTTTTTTAAAATTTATATTTATTTTTGTGTGGGGCATACACAGCACTTGTGTGTAGGTTAGAGGACTACTCAGTGGAATCAGTCCTTTCTGCCCATCATTTGAGCCCCTGGGATCGAAATCAGGTACTCAGGCGTTGCAGCAGAAACTTTTACCATAAAACAATTTCTAACAGACCGATAAGGGCCTGCAGCTTCTCTGAAAATGGGTAAGTTTGAGGTCTTGCGATTGTACAAGTCACTAGAGAGGACGACATAGACTATCAATAAGGAAGGAATTGGAAATTGTGCTTTTTGGACTCAACTAGCAGCTCAGGGCAGCTCTGGGAAGTATTCACTCTTCCCTGCATGTCCTCTGCTTAGATGGCAGGGGCTCCCTTGGATGGGAAGCCAGACCTCTTCCCACTTCCATACATTGAACAGAACCATGATACCACAGGCAGTAGTCAAGCCACCAAAGGAGCCAGAATTGAGCACTCTGGAGCAGGAGGAGTAAGGAAGGTCAATTTCTTCCAGCAGGGTTGAGAGAGCAGTTACAGGTTTGGGTTTTTCTGGGCAACCTGGCTGGTTCAAAATAATTCTGGTACCTCATACAGGTTAAACTTACCTCTGGACATGTTCAGACCTGTTTTAGAAGGGAGGCCACTTGTTGATTCCCAGCCACCCAACTAGCTTAGACCTGAAATAATCACACAAAAATTGC